TCAGAGGTAGAGGCAGAGGAGGACGAGGAGGAGGCAGCAACAGACAACAGCTATCTGCTGAGGAGCTAGATGCCCAGTTAGACGCGTACAATGCCAGAGTGAGTACTAATGACCTTTTCATAGTGGGTTTTACTCAGAAAAACCTGGCGCTAACCTTTACACTTATTTTCCAACAGATGGATACCAGCTAAACCCCTGTGCCTCGCTGAATCCCTATTGCTGTGGCATTGGAGGATTGACAACGTTGTAATAGCTTTTAATGCACCGGATGTTTTACACTCGCCTCTTTAAAATTGTGAACCAATCTCTCTTTGTTTTATCTGTTTTGTTTTGGTTTTTTGTTTTTTTTTTTTTTCTATGAAAACTTGGTTGGACTGTAGGATTTAAGGATTCCATCGTTTATCCCTGTATTTTTTGTGATAGAAATAAAACCTGCAGTGTTCAGTAGCCACACAATGTCTCTGCTTTCTCATTCTGTTGCAATAACAATTATTCCTCCCAGCTGTGCTTTCTGGTGAAGCCAGTGAAACATTCAATGGTATGTTTTTGGTAGTGTGAACACTGCCCGGTGGTTCGATTCTAATGCAACACTTGAGTGAAATGTCTGCTGCTTCTGTACTGCACTTGCCTCTCAAGGTTTACAGTGTCACAAATCAGAAATAGTCAAGCAATACAAGATTAAAGCAAATTACAATGTACAAAGAAGTTAATGCCTCACCTTCTTAGACTCATTGCGTATGCATTGAGAGACTATATCAACAATAAGGTAGAATAACTTTTTTTTTTCTAGTGGTTAGAAGCTGGCTAAAATGCTTCAAAATCTATTTCCACAGAGCAGCATAATTAATTTTTAAAAGGGTGTCGCTTGTTCATTAAACCATAACTGGTTTACTTCAAGACTTAAATGTTCTTGATCAAAGACAATCTAAAAACCTGGAGACCGACTGAAAGATGGCACAGAACATAGTAAAAATTGTAAAATAGTTTTACAGTTTCTGGAAGAAATCACTGATGGGTTGTAGATGCTGATCCCTCAGGCCACATCAAGGTATGGAACAACAAGCAAGTGGTGAGTAAAAAGCACCTTTACCAACCAGTTGAATCTATGATTTTGCTTAATTGTGCTGCCGTAGTAAACTCCTTTTGATGAGGAATCTTAATTATGGTCACTACTAGACGTCATTAGACTGGGTCGATAGAATGCACTTGGCAGTGGCTATTTCGATTGCTATTGTCTTACTGATGTCTTAACTTCTTAACTTTGAACCTTTTGTTTTTTAAGTATCTTGAAAAAATGTATATTGTTATACAAAAAAATGTAAAACCAAATAAATTTATCAAAAGTCCAGAAAGAGAATGCTGGGGGGGGGGGGGGTTACAGGGTCGTCAAACAATGGTCAAAAGCCATTCATGACACCAGCCTATTACTATCCCTTTCCCAAGCAAAACTCTGAGTATGTGAAGAGCTGCATGTGGGTAAATATTCAACCCGTGCTATACAAGGAGGTCACAACATGCTCAATGCCACCACAGTTGTGGTTGTCACAGATGGGACAGATTGAATCAGCAACTTTCTAAACCCCAGTCTTCTTGGCCACAAATGCTGATGTTGATTTTGGTTTAAGACTCTTTTTTTTTTTTTTTTAACCATTACGAATCAAATGTAAAATCTATATTATTACATCAAAACAGTCTTGCATGTTCGTCCTGTTTGTAGAAGTAATACAGCAAATTATGCCTGGGCTAGTAAAACAAAAAACAACTATGCGAATCAAGCAGGAAGATTTGCTTATTTTCTAAAGGTACAGATAAAAAGAACAATAAATTGTACAGTTTAGGCATGGACAATTGGTTTCTGCCATCTCAAGCAGCCATTAAAGCAGGCCTTGAAGAGTTCCTGGATCCAAAAATATTAAAACACTTTCACAGTTCAGAAGAAACTATCCAGCCAGAAACAATTATTCCCTCTATGATGATAGTAAGCCCCATCCAGTGGGACATCAATGCAGACATTCATCAAGGAGCCACTCTCAAGGAGCCATCTCCGCCTGGGTCCCTGGAGAACAAGACTTACTTAGAAACATCTTTGACAGAGAATCTCAAGGGCACCCTACATTTGTTCTGGGCTTTGGACATTCGGGCAGCAGATGTACTCTCACTTCCCAAGAGCCAATATTTGTGGCCTAGTATGGAAGCTGATGTCTTTTTTTTTTGTTCTGTCTGCTGTGCAATGTATAAGACCCTGAGAGACGTACCCTCGGGTAAGATGATTTATTCCTATAACTAAACTTCCAACCTCTTTTGAAACAGATGAAAATCTTCTCCAGTATGTTTTCAGTCATCCCTGAAGAAGCCGAGTCCTCATTTTCAACAAAAAAATCAAAGCCTTCCTCAGGAATGTCGCAGGATCCACTTAATGACCTTGGTCATGCATGGAGAAGAAACTGGTCAAAACCAGAGATTTCTGCTGTTAAGAATTCAGGGTAAAAATTGCCTGTGCTGTCTCTGTGGTCTAGAGGTGTGCAAGGGTCCTTCATATCCCTCCCCACTCTCTCTCTCTCCGGACACATTTACAGTTGCTCAATACTTTCATGTCCAAAGGATACTGGCAGAAAAATCTTTAAAACAAAATAAACAAATGCGATTGCAATAGTACTAATTTGCTGCCCTTTTTGACACTTAGCTCAGTTAGGTCATAGGTTCTATGTTTGTCATTTTGTTATGTTGCTCCTTCCATCATGTGCTCTCTTCATCATTCCATTCAGCTTCATCAGATTGTTGCGTGTTGATCTCCAATCAAGCTCCCTTCTTTTAGCCCTCTCTCCTCTCACTCTTTGTCTGACTGTAACCAACAAACTGTTTTTGAGTTATCACTGCCATACCTGATTGAACCCCTCATATCAGTCAACGAACAGCTTCCCCGACACGATTATATTCCTGCCGGTCTTGAGTCCTCGTCACCGGCCCCTGACCGTGCATTGATTATCAAGCACCCCCTCTGCCCAGTTATCGCAGACCCCTAAATACCCAAACTTCTCATCTTGGAGCAGGATCGCTCCAACTGAAGGAGTATTCCGGATCATTTTGGAGGTGCTGATTCTCAACCCAGCTTTTGGCTGCAAATCAGGTGTTAATTATTGCCAGGTATGCCAGCCTCCCTCCGGCTCTGGACATACAAGAGACGGAGAGCCCTTAGCAAAGGACACGGAACCCCATACTTCCAGAGCATCCCTGACAGGCCGCCACAAGGGACACAGTCAGACTCTTTGAGATGAAGCAAAAACAACGAAGTACTTTGCTCTTAACAATGCCACATTTATTTTATTGCTATTCCAGATACCTGTGTTCTATGTTCTAAAATGGACAGGATGTCATAATGCCACAAGTTTCATCCATGTTTGAGAATGGTAGTGCACAGAATGCTCAGCACAATGAACTGCTCATTGATGAAGCAGTAATGAGTTACGCTGCTGGTGGTACATTTTTGATGAGTGATGAGTTACGCTGTTGGTGGTACATTTGTGTTGCTGTGAAAATCTGGCGAAACTGCACATGTTACTGGTCATTTATTTGTTAGCACAATTTGCAATTATAAGCCACAGATTCTTTATTGTTAGTCAACAAAATGTTTGATCATAAATCATACACAGGGTTAGATATAACCAGTGAACTACATTTTAGCTGTCTGACAGAACCAAAACAGATAAACACCAGCTCCATCTCTACTTTGTTTTGGAGCCAGTATCTCTTTTTTTTTTTGGATGATTGCTTACGTTTTAAAAATGTCATTTTGTCAATTCATACTTTATTTAAACATTCATTCATTCATTTTCATACCCACTTATTCCCTTTCGGCTTTGGTGCCTATCTCCAGCACACATTGGGTGAGAGGAGGGGGTACATCCTGGACAGGTCGCCAGTCCCACATTCACACCTAAGGGGAATTTAGATTATTCAATTAACCTAACAGCATGTTTTTGGGATTGTGGGAGAAACCAGAGTACCCAGAGGAAACCCACGCAAGCACAGGGAGAACATGAAAACTCTTTCCAGGAAGGTCACCAATAGGGGTGGGCGATATCTCGATATTTAAAATAGATATAGGCTACAGAACTTGTTGCAAAAAAAGAACAGCTGGCTCCATTATATGGAAATACTTTGGTTTTAAGTCGTCAGACGAACAACAGACAGATGTCTACTGCCGTGAATGCCGTGAAAGTTGCTGCCAACCAAAGCTCAACTAATCTCCACAATTCTATAACGCGGAGTGTAGAATATGAAAGACAGAGCGCAAGGTGGTGTAGCATCACAGAGTCCGTGGCATTTCACATAGCGGTGGACATGGCACCCATATCCGTCGTTGAACAACGTGGCTTTAAACGTATGCTAAAAACACTTGATCCCAGTCAGATACAGTTTACCTAGTCGGCATTACTTTTCGAGACAGGAACTCCCGCGACTGTACACTACAGAGAGAGCGCGGCTTGCTGCTGAATTGGAAAAGGTTACTTACAACAGAGGTCCTGCAAAGATGAGCTTGAGTTGAGTTGTTTTATTTTTGAATGAAAAGAAGGCAATGTGTATTATTTTACAGTTAAATTATTATTTATGTTATCAGGGATTTTTTTATATCCTAAATGTTACAGAAGCACTTTGTCCCTTCGCACTGCCTTTTCTTTTTTTGTTGTTTTATTTTTGAATGAAAAGGCAATATGTATTTCTTTATTGTTTAATAATATGTATGCAAGGATTCCTGAATGAAAATTCGCAGAAGCACTTTTTTTTGGAACCACCTACCTCTGAGCTTCAATAAAAAACTTTGAAATTTGTAATATTTGTTTTTGTAGTAGGTTTTTTTGGGGGGGTTATAAATCCTGTAAAGATATCGAGATATATATCGTATATCGAGATATAGCAAAATATAACCAACAACCTTCTAACTGGAAGTTTTCAGTGCTACCCACTGCGCCACCGTGCCGCCATAAACAGCTCCTTCTTGTTGTTCCCGCCCAGTTTTGAACTGGGGACCGTTTGCGTACGAGGCAAAAATGTGATAACCACTATACTACGGAAACCTACACTTATTTAAACATAACTAAGTGTATTACGCAACAGCGCCAGCGACCCGCATTTCCTTCAGGATTCAGAATTTTTTTTACATAATAAGGAGATACAAATTAACTAAGATTAGAACGAAAATGACCAGCTACTTCAGGATGATAAAAGCGTGTCGAAACGGTCAGAAATCGCTGTCTTTTAATACACGTTCGAGGCCGGTGTTCTTGCGCATGCGCGGACCTCGTTAGGCGAGTGACGGTATTCCCGGAAGTGAGTTTCTCAGGCACCGCCGCCGCTCCCTCATCCTCACCGCGCCATCGAGAAGATAGTAGTACGGGACGCCTTTCTTTCTTTCTATAACCGACAGAAACACCAACCCGCACCTCCACGGTGAGTCCGCAGCCCACACTTCACAGTCAGTCCGTGTAATACTCGCAGAAAGTGTCCTGCCGCCTGCAGTGTGTCGTTCTCGGCGAGTTTTTAGCATGACTCGGGCAGGTTGAATCCAGATAGCGAGGCGGTGCATGCCTTTTCTTCCTGCTCCCCTAAAAGTGCTTGGAAATAGGTGGAAAAAAAGTGTTCGGCGTGTATTTGATTCTGTGCGTTTGACGTGAAGTGTTTGTGAATCACGTTTGATCTCAAGCTGCAGCCTGAGCGCAATTGTTCGATTTTCAGGTCACTAAAGTTGATCAAAGCTGACTTCTTACCTTTAATTGTTTAAAAGAATTCGAATCTGTCCGTAGATAATATATATGGTTAAAATTAGGCTTCGTTATAAAAGTGTTATTGGATAAGTGTCCGGTGGATGGGGAAATCCATGTTTTTATTTTAACTAGTAATAAATAGAAATTCTTTTTAACAATCTCGTGTAGTATAAATGTAACTTATTTCTATCATGCGTTTTAATGATGGGATGTAGCGTTAGTTAGTAAAGCATTTATCCTAATCATTGTCTTGGAGTGGTCTGAGGCATGTTTCTGAACTTGTCACGCCGCTGCGCAAATGATCGTGGATTGTTTGAACGGTTTCGTTGAATGATTCATATATTTTATGGATTTACAAAGTGATCCAAACTTTCTGAGAACTTCCTGCTGCAAGGGATGATTATTTAGCCGCGCGATCGTTAGCCTGCTAGCATGAGCAGGGACTTCCTGAGTCACTTCTGTGACTAGAATTCTCTTCATTTCTTCTCTTCACACACTTTCGTGTCACACAAGTTACCTGTACATACAGAGAGCGAAAGATATGCATCACTGGGTGGTCGCCTTTCATTGTCTTAATGATTTATCCCCCTCCTCCCCTCGGTGTTAACGTTAATCCCAGATTGATTTAATGGCACCAGGAGCCGGCTGTTAAATCTACCTGAACCTGTCGCTAAGAGATGGGATTAGCAGGGTTTGCCAGAGCATAGATTGAACATTAGGGCGTATTTACAGAGCGGCCAGTGGTATTTCAAAGTGTCCTGGCCGATTAACAAAAGAAACCCTGTTGTTGGAAAAACAGCTAATTTCCTTCCTGTGCAGAGAGTGAGAGAGAAAGGCGCGCTGTGGCTTCTAGTTCCTTCTTTCAGAGCCCTTTACCTTTACTACTATGGTGAAGAGCGTCATCGTGAATAGTAATCACGCGCGGTGACGTTGATTGGTTGAGAGCCATGATTTTTGACAAACGAGCGATCTTGATGTCATATATTGCTCAATATTAATGAGGTCATATGACGATTGTTTTAGTTGGAGCTCTGCAGGACGTCATGAATATTCAGGACTAGAGTCGTCGCCATAGTAGATGCCTTGATTATTTCAGGGCGGTGTCGGTAGTGGCGTCTGTGATTCAAACTTTGTACTTTCAGTGTGTTTACCAGACATTTGATTTATTATGGTTATATGGACTACTGCAATAAATCTGTAGTTTGTTCAAATGTAATCCTTAACCAGTACTTAGAACCAAAATTGATATGAAATGATAAACTATAAAGCTAAATGCGCATGCATTTGTTATGCAATTAGGGTTGACAGAACTGCTGGGAAAAGGATAATGTAATGGGGTATAACAGATATTATTTGGGGATAACGAATCAATAATGCTCAAAACTGGTTGTTTATTATATGGTTGTTCAAGACTATGCTATATTCTTGTTACCTTACCACATAAAGCATGGCACAAATGCAAACAGTATAATACTTTCAGAAATAAAAATAATGCTAAGTTCTTCTAGCTATACTTGCTCAAAGTCAGGGATTTTGTAAGATATTAGTTTTACAAACGTGTGTTGAATGATACACCATTTATAACAGACAACACTTTTCTTTAATGTCGTATGTAGGTGTAAATTTAGTAATTTTATTTTACTTGAATGAGGAACAGGCACACTCAAAGTTGAGGTTAATAAAGACCCTTTTTGGTCATGGCAAGATTGAGCTCTATAACAAGACACAAGGTAGTTATACTGCATTAGCAAGGTCTCTCCTAGACAACGATTATTAAAGCATGCTGTGGTTTCAAGATGTCCTGTTCAGACCCTTGAAGCACAAATAAATGGGCAACTTTGAAAATTGTAGATGCAATGATTAGTAGAGGTGTGATAAGGTCTTGTGACGCGAGATCTTGTGAGATCGAAATTTGCATCGCGTGAATTTGATGACATCCTTGCAATATAGTGGTATGGTGTAGAGCAGAAGATCTTAGACGGAAGCCGTCCAGGCCCGTTGCTACCCAACGTAGGGCTGGGCGGTATGAAGCAAAAAATATATCTCGATATATTTTGCTATATCTCGATATACGATATATCTCGATATCGACAGGATTTAAAAAAAAAAAAAAAAAAACTACTGCAAAAACAAATATTACAAATTTCCAAGTCGTTTTTTTATTGAAGCTTCTGCAAATTTTCTTTCAGAAAACCTTGTATACATATTATTAAGCAATAAAGAAATACATATTGCCTTTTCATTCAAAAATAAAACAACTAAAAAACAGGCAGTGTGAAGGGACAAAGTGCTTCTGTAACATTTAGGATATAAACAAAATCCCTGATAACATAAATAATAATTTAACTGTAAAATAACACACATTGCCTTCTTTTCATTCAAAAATAAAACAACTCAAGCTCATCTTTGCAGGACCTCTGTTGTAAGTAACCTTTTCCAATTCAGCAGCAAGCCGCGCTCTCTCTGTAGTGTACAGTCGCGGGAGTTCCTGTCTCGAAAAGTAATGCCGACTCGGTAAACTGTATCTGACTGGGATCAAGTGTTTTTAGCATACGTTTAAAGCCACGTTGTTCAACGACGGATATGGGTGCCATGTCCACCGCTATGTGAAATGCCACGGACTCTGTGACGCTACACCACCTTGCGCTCTGTCTTTCAAATTCTACACTCCGCGTTATAGAATTGTGGAGATTAGTTGAGCTTTAGTTTGGCAGCAACTTTCACGGCATTCACGGCAGTAGACATCTGTCTGTTGTTCGTCTGACGACTTAAAACCAAAGTATTTCCATATAATGGAGCCAGCAGTTCTTTTTTTGCAACAAGTTCTGTAGCCTCCGGTCTGGTTGCGGGCGCCGCCATGTTGAATGAGACGACAGGCAAGGGGAGGGGGAACAAAAGCAAGGAGGCGGGGACGAGCGCAGCACAGAGAAGGCACACAAGCAAAGTGGCGAAAATTAAAAATAAGACATTATATCGATATATACGATATGCCAGAATTCATATCGAGTTTAAAAAATATCTCGATATATTTTAAATATCGAGATATCGCCCACCCCTAACCCAACGCTTAATTTTTTTAATTCAGTCGGGCTCAAACTGGGTTCAGGCTCTGTGGTGCGCAGCCACTTTTATTGCCGCATGAAGGGACCGCAGTGAGGTCAGACAGAGGCTTGCCTCTGGAGATTACCTCTAGAATAAACGTGTATGCCATTGTCTGAATACTGGATTCTGTTTGCTAACAGGTGTTGATTAAATTCATATAACCCCAGAGGTTCCTCAGGCTAGGTAATATCTATCAACCGGAACCCTTCCTATAGTAACTCACACCTTTCGCAGCAGCAGCAGCAGCAAATATTTCCTGATTCACTGAACTAGGATTACTGGGTTATTTTTGCATTTTCATAGATGCATATCATTTATTATGCAAAAGCCTGATTTGTGGAACACAGCTGTTGGTCTCTTCCAAAACTGGACTGAGACACAAAATTCCCCGCACGGATCACTACTTGTGCTTCTAAATTGAAGTGTCATAGTGTTAAAAGACTCTGAAGTTTGTCACCCAAAGCTTTAACCCTGAAGCTGTTATTCTCCAGATATTGGCCTGATTCTTATTAAAAAAACGTTAGTTTAAGTAATCCACACTGAACTATTTTTTTGTGGATTAAATGACGAGATAACTGCAGCTTTCCTCATTTCGTCCTTGTATTCAGCCCAGATATTATTAATAAGTTTATTATGTCTATGTTGGTAAGTGACCATGGTATAAACAGTGTAATCAACTTCAGCTACTGTATTATACGTACTTGACACAGGGATGGGTGCAGAAAAATGGCAGCAGGTGCTCTTGACTGAGATAGAATCTGATAATTTTGAATGCAGTAGAGAAGGGGGTCATAAACTGAGAAACCCATAAGTGCTTTATATTGTGTATATCTGTACAATGTGCACTTGCCCTGTGAATAGGGTTGAAAAAAATGTATTTAAATTTTTTTGTAAGTTTATTTCTATTGGGCCATGTCGCCCAGCTATCAGAGATGGCGGATGGTCGTTATGCCGAGCCGGTACTGCGATCCATCATTGTGATCCTCCCACACTGAAGCCGCGACACCCTCGCAAAAAAAAAAACAAAAAAAAAAAACACACTGTTGTGAACGATTTCTTTTCAGCAGAGTTCTTGTTTCTTTATGTTTATTGTGCAGAAAACTGATTGGATATGTTTAATCTGGCACTATTTGCTGGAAGATTTTGTCAAAGGCGTTTTTTGGGAATTGTTGAATTACACGCATCTCGTGCTGTTTACGTGAGATAAAGTT